CTTCTGTGTGGTTAAGGAAGGCATTTGGCCTTTGGTGTTCACAGGGACCATGTCATTGTGCCCGTGAGACCAGGTATTGGAGTCCTTGTGCCATAACCAGTCGTCGGAGAGTGTTTCCCAAGCCCCTGGGTGTGGCAGAAGGAGACACGTCTCCCATGTCCTACACAGAGCCGCGTCCCCGGCTATTGTCCCCTCCCTAGTAATAGCTAGAATAATCATTATTCAGTTCTAGAACTGTGCGGCTTACAAAGTAACTTTACATTTAATCTCCTTTTGACTTCTATCAGAGTCTTGGCAGTGTCCACAGGAACCTGTGAGGAGTTCCAGGTCCTTTCCAGTTTTATTCTATCCTGCTGCGCTGCCTTTGAATCCCATCATTCCCGGCAGTAAACTCTCATCACATTGGACTGTTCACCACCCCCTAAATAACAACACACGTCCTTTCGTTCCTCTCTCTTTTTACTGTACTGTCTCTTTAAATATGTCTCTTGTCTGTTTGGAGAACCCTAACGCAGCCTATAGTCAGGCCTACACGTTGTCTCTTCTGTAGGTAAGTGTTCTCCGTTCCTTTGCCTCGAGGACCTCATTGCTTCCCTTTTGGGCATCCTTAGTGGTTTGATAATCCAGTACCGTTTATTACGTGTACAACCTTTTATAAGTAGCTTAACTTCTCTGAGTTTTTCTTTTCTTTATCTCGAATGCCTTTCTTTCTTTCAGGGGAGTTCGGTGAAACCTACATAACAAAGAATATGATATACAAGTATTCTATACAGATGTAATTGTTTAGCATTAATAGTAGAAATGTGAAAATAGACTTCAGATTATACTTACAACTACTTTTCTGTGGGTCTCTGATCCTCGAGCGCTGCAATCCTGATATATTCATCTTTCTCCACTAAACATTGAATCCAAGACCTGAAACATAATAAATGAAATTGAATCATGAATTAGGCAGGGGAGATACTATTATCATTTTGCAGATTGAAATAAAGGCCCAAAATGCTGGGTGATATCATGATTTAGTTATTATGTCCTGGCCACCTTTCCCTGAGTTTACCAGTAGAACCTCCAGAGACTTCTGAAGGACTTGTACCCTGACTCTACTTTGTATCAAAGGTAAGATTTCTCGAAGTATTGTCTGGGACCACCTGTCATAGACTGATTTCTGAAAATACTTATTAAAAATATAAAATCAAATCTCACTAATGTAATTTTGAGAAAATAAGCCAGACACACAAAATCAGAAAAGAGAGGCAGTACTACCAATTTTACAGAAATAAAAAGTATTACAAAAGAGTACTATGAGCAACTGTATGCCAACAAATTGGATAACCTAGATGAAATGGACACATTCCTAGAAATGTACAATCTACCAAGACTGAATTATGAAGAACTAGAAAATCTGAACAGCCCTATAACTAGTAAAGAGATTGAATCAGTAATTTTTAAAAACCTCCCAACAAAGAAATTCCCAGGACCAGATGGCTTCATTAATGAATTTGAAGAAGAATTAACACCAATCCTTCTCAATCGCTTCCCAAAAATCAAGGAGGAAGGAATACTTCCTAACTCATTCTGTGAGACCAACATTATCCTGATACCAAAATCAGAAAGAGATACTATAATTGACCCTTAAACAACACAGAGGTTAGGGGAAGCGACCTCCTGTGCAGTCGAAAACTTGTGTATAATTTTACAGTTGTCCCTTTGTTTCCATGGTTCTACATCCACAGATTCAACCAACCTCAGATGATACCATGCTGTAGTATGTACTTATTGGGAAAAAAAGTCCTGGTAGAAATGAACCCCCATAGTTCATGTTGTTCAACGATCAACTGTACATGAAAACTACAGACCAATTTCCCCTATGAATATTGATGCAAAAATCCTGAACAAAATACTAGCCAACAGAGTTCAACAGCACATTAAGAGGATTTTACATCATGACTAAGTGGAATTCATTCCTTAAGTGCAACAATGGTTCAAAATCAGTCAATGTAATGAACCCCATTAACAGAATGAAGGGGAAAAAAAAAAAACCTGGCTATCTCAATTCATGTAAAAGAAAAAACATGGATGAAATTCAACACCCTTTCAGATAAAAAACTAGGAATAGAAAGAACGTGCCTCAGCATTATAAAAACCATATACGGAACGCCCAGGGCCAACAAAATACTTAGTGATAAGAGCCTGAAAGCCTTTGCTGTAAGATTGGGAGCACAAAAGGATGCCTGCTTTCTGTACTTCTATTCAGCATAGTACTGGAAGTCTGAGCCAAAGCAGTTAGGCAAGAAAAGAAATAAAAAGAACGTCAGTTGGAAAGAAAGAAGTAACATTACCTCTGCTCACAGAATACACAATCTTGTATTTAAAAAAATCCAGCAGATTAAACACACACACACACACACACACAAACTGTTAGAACTAATAAACTAATTCAGAAGAGTTGGAGGATACAAATCAACACACAAAACTTAGTTGTGTTTCTATACACCAACAGTAAACTAAAGAGGAAATTTAAAAAAGCCACTCTATTTATAACAGCATTAAAAAGAATAAAATACTTAGGAATAAACTTAACCAAGGAGGTGGAAGATTTGTACATCAGAAACTACAAAGTGTTGAAAGACGTTAAGGAAGACATAAATAAGTGGAAAGACATTCTGTATTCATGGATTGGAAGACTTAGTATTGTTATGATGTCAGTACTAACCCAAAGTGGTCTTACAGAATCGATTCAATTCCTATCAAAATCCCAACTCCTTTTTTTTTTTTTTACAAAAGTAGGAAAATCCATCCTAAAATTCATATGGAATTTCAAGGGACCCTGAATAGCCAAAGTCATCTTGCAAAAGAGCAAAGTTGAAAGTCTTATACTTCCTGACTTCAAACTTAACTACAAAGCTAAAGTAATCCAAATAGTGTGGTGCTGGCGTAAAGGAAGAAGTATAAAGCAATGGAATAGAATAGAGGGCCCAGAAATAAACCTGTGGGTGTGGATACAGATGATTTTCAACAAGGGTGCCAAGACCATTCAATGGGGAATGAACAATCTTTTCAACAAAATTGTGCTGAGAAAAGTGGATACCCACATGCAGAAAAATGAAGTGGACTCTTACCTGATGCCATATAAAAAATTAACTCAAAATGGATCAGAGACCTAAACATAAGAGCTTATAACTATCATGTTTTATCTTAGACAAAAACATAGGGGAAAAGCTTTGTGATACTGGATTTTTTTGTTGATTTTTTTGGATATGACACCAAAAGCACAAGCAATGAAAGAGAAATTGGATCAATTGAACTACACTGAAATTTAAAACTTTTGCACACTGAAGGACACTTATCAACAGAGCAGAAAGGCAGCTCATGGAATGGAAGAAAATATTTGCTAATTATATAACTGATAAGGAGTTAATATCCAGAATATAGAAAGAACTGCAGCACAACATCAAAAGCAAACAACCCAATCAAAAAGTGGGCAAAGGACTTGAACAGACATTTCTCCAAAGAAGATATACAAGTGACCAACAGGTATATGGAAAGATGCTCAACATCACTAATCATTAGGGGAATGCAAATTAAAACCACAGTGAGATATATCACACCCATTAGGATGGCTATTACCAAAAAAAAAAAAAAAAAAACCCAGAAAATAACAATTATCAGCCAGACTGGAGAAACTGGAACCCTTGTGCAGTGTTGGTGGGAATATAAAATAATACAGCCACTGGAGAAAATAGTATGGTGGCTCTTCAAAAAATTAAAAACAGAATTACTGTTTGATCCAGGAATTCTACTTCTGGGACTATAGCCAAAAGATCTGAAAGCAGGGACTTGAAGAAATATTGGTACACCCACGTTCATAGCAGCATTGTTCACAAAAGCCAAAAAGTAGAAGCAATCCAAGCATCCACAATGGAAGAATGGATACATAAAATTTTTGTACATACAATGGAATATTATTTAGATTTGAGAAGGGAATAAATTCTGACACATGCTACAGCATGGAGGAACTTAAAGACACTGTGCTAAGTAAAATTAGCCATTCACAAAAGGACAAATACCGTATGATTCCACTTATATGAATTATCTACAACAGTCAGATTCATACAGACAAGTAGAATGGTGGTGGCCAGAGCCTAGTGGGAAGAGGGAATGTTTAATAGGCACAGAATTTCAGTTTTTCAAGATGAAAAAGTTTCTGCAGATGGATGGTGATGGTTGCACAACAACGTGAATGTGCCTAGTGCCCCTGAACTGTACACTTAAAAATGGTTTAGATGGTAAATTTTATGTTACATGTATTTTACCAGAATTTTAAACATTTTTAATTAAAAATTCAAAAACAAGATACAAAAAAAAGTATATGCTGTATGATTCCATTTATTTAAGGCTCAAAAATGAATCAGTGATGTTAGATGTCAGGATAGTGGTTACCCTTGGGAGAGGAAGGTAACTGGAAACAGGCATGAAGAGGCTTCTGGGGGGTCCTGGTGATTTTTCTTGATCTGGCTGTTATGACATTGGGATATACAGGTTGTGAAATTCTTTGAGCTATACATTTGTGATGTGTACAGTTTTCTATAAAATATTGCACTTCAGAAGGACTCCAAAAATGTAGCTAACACCCCAACAGGCTACAGAGTCAGAATCTCTGAGGGATGGAACCAGGAGACCCTGTGTTTTAAAAATCCCCCTTCCAATTTTTTCTTAAGAACATCGAATGCTGGGAATCTTTGCTAAAGGAAGGGAACTAGGTAAATACTTTACCAATGCCCAAGAATTCTTCAGTCATACACTAACAATAAATATTCCTTAGAGAAGAAATTCTTGATATCCTGGAGTCACTTACTTTCTCTTGTTAGGAAAATCCATATCACCTTTCAGATGCTAAGAAAGAACTAAAATTAGCAGCATATAGAAATGTATTGTTTAATATATTATATTTAAAAATATGATTTCTTCTAATGTGTCAGACACAGTATAAGTTAGGGATATTTTATTGAGGTCCTCTGATAAATGGCAGGTGCTAGGACCTAGTGGAATTCGGGCAACTTCATTAGAAGGTGAACTATCACCCCAGGGTGTGGTGCAACGCAAACAGGTTCAGAAAAGCCAGTTCTCCCACTTGTAAGCCACTTAGACTCCATTTCATCTCGCTGATACCACCTCCAAGATTTCAGCGGCTTTTACACTTGCTTGGTAAACCGAAAGTATGTTTCTGGCAAAGGCCCTTTTGGAAGGAGCAGATCAAGGTCTTGGCCATGCTCTTGGAGGCCTTCTTGGAGGAGGCGGCCAGAGAAGAGGAGGAGGAGGAAATATTGGAGGGATAGTTGGTGGGATTGTGAATTTCATCAGCGAGGCTGCAGCAGCTCAATATACCCCGGAACCACCTCCCACTCAGCAGCATTTCACCTATGTGGAGGCCAACGAGAGTGAGGAAGTTAGGCGGTTTCGGCAACAATTTGCACAGCTGGCTGGACCGGACATGGAGGTGGGTGCCACTGACCTAATGAATATTCTCAACAAAGTCCTTTCTAAGCACAAGGACCTGAAGTCCGACGGCTTTAGTCTTGACACCTGCCGGAGCATCGTGTCCGTCATGGACAGTGATACGACTGGGAAGCTGGGCTTTGAAGAATTTAAGTATCTCTGGAACAACATCAAGAAATGGCAGTGTGTTTTTAAGCAATATGACAGGGACCAGTCTGGGTCTCTGGGAAGTTCTCAGCTACGGGGAGCGCTGCAGGCAGCAGGCTTCCACCTAAATGAGCAGCTTTACCAAATGATTGTCCGCCGATATGCCGATGAGGATGGAAGTATGGATTTTAACAACTTCATCAGCTGCCTGGTCCGCCTAGATGCCATGTTTCGTGCCTTCAGATCCCTGGATAGAGATGCGGATGGCCTGGTTCAGGTGTCTATTCAAGAATGGCTGCAGCTGACCATGTATTCCTGAAGTGGGCACTGAGAAGTTAGGACGCCCCTGCAGGACAGGACTGCTGGGGGCCAGCCGTGCTCTCTGCACAGTTGCGGAGACCCCATCCAAAGCTGTCACTTCCTGCTGAGCCCTCCCTGTTTCTGAACTTGTGCTGCCTTTTCTGCTTAATTAAAACAGATTTTTCATGAAAAATGTTCTGAGTGGTTTGTATATCAGCTATTTGAGATATAGGATTTTTAGGGACTTATATATGTGATGGGGGGTGGTGCAGGGTGGGCTCTAATGGAATAGATTTCAATAGGTCATTGCCTGTTTGACTTCCAAAGAGCAGGAAATGTGTTATTGTTAAGAAAGACCTTTTGAAAAAAAAATCCTGGAGTAAATTGAGAAAGCACCCAGGAGATTTAGTTTCTCTTTAAAAAGATGAGGAGGGAAGTTCAAAATCTGTTTTTGTCTTAATTTCATATCTGGTCTTTCCCTTGCATTAAAAAAAAAAGTAAAGTATTTTCCTGGAAACCCATTTAACTGTATAGAAACAGGTTCAGAAATGTGAAATTAAGCAATTTCATATAAGGGCAGAATTTTTTTTAATGATGGAGCTACTATCTAAAATTCTAGAATTCTTTAGTCCTGTTTCTCTAGTAAAATAAACATGTAGCAATTTAAAAAATATTTTATTTACTTATTATTGTATTATTTCATTATTTTATTTTGGCAGGGAGGGGAGATAATTAGGTTTATTTATTTTTAAGGGAGGTACTGGGGATTGAATCCAGGACCTCATGCATGCTAAGCATGTACTCTACCAGTTGAGCTATAACTCCCCGCCTCCCAATTTTGTTTTGATATATTTGTAGCGAGGGTCAGGGCATTGGGAAATAAAAGGGTGTACTTGTAGTCAAAATATCTCTGGCTGCCTTAATGAATCAAAATGATCACGCTTAACATGCACTTCAGACAAAACCAGGCACATCAGCTATGTTAGCCAGCTCTTGTCATGTCTTGCCCTGCCTCGGAGCAAGGAATATTCTTTCCTACCTCTTTGAAAACTGCAGTCAGGAAAAAAGCAGACAGACAAAAAGAAAACGTACATAAATCATAATCAGTTATTTGGTATTAAAAGCAATAGATACATGAATGTATATAAATCTTGCTGACTCTTGATTGCAGTGGTTTGCAGCCCTGGCTGCAACTTAGAATCACTGGGAAAGCTCTTTGGGAATCCTGAGAGCTGAGTCCCACTCTAAGTGAGTTAATAAGACTCCTTAGAGGTGGGGCCCAGAGATGAGTATTTTTAAAGGTCCATCGGTGATTCTGATGGGTAACCGAGGTTGACAGCCTGTACTTCAAGGTAAGACCGTTTTTCGATTCAGTCTCAACAGAAAAGTGAGACCTGGCAGGAGTCAGTGTCGACAGCACCCAAAAGAAGGAACTAGGAGTATGAAGAAACTGCCGCCCAGAAGCCGGGGTAGTTGTGCCTTTCTTGTGAATGGCCCTTGGTTTGACTTTTTCATTCTGATTCAGGTGGTGACAGCGGGGCACACAATTCAGAGTCCCCCGCCAGTAGCCCCAGCTAAAGCGGTTGCATTCACCAGGGCTCTGTTCACCTGCCCACTGATTGGTTTCCACCCCTCCTGCTTCTCTGATGTTTAATGCATTTCCTCTCTCCCAGTCTACTTTTGAGGATCATCCTGAGGTTGAAAATAAAGCCTTACTCTTTTTTTTTTCTTTTCAGTTATGGTTTATTACAGGATATTGAGTATAGTTTCCTGTGCTATACAGTAAGACCTTGTTGTTTATCTATTTTATATATAATACTTTCTATCTGCTAATCTCGAACTCCTAGTTTATCCCTCCCCCCCACCCCCTTTCCCTTTTGGTAGCCATAAATTTGTTTTTTATGTCTGTGAGTCTGTTTTATAAATAAGTTCCTTTGTGTCACATTTTAGATTCCACATATAAGTGATATCATATCATATTTCTTTTTCTGACTTACATCACTTAGTACAATAATTTCTGGGTCCATCCATGATGCTGCAAATGGTATTATTTCATTCTTTTTATGGCTGAATAGTATTCCATTGTGTATGTATATCACATCTTCTTTATCCAGTCCTCTATCAGTGGACATTTAGGTTGCTTCCATGTGTTGGCTATTGTAAATAGTGCTGCTATGAACATTGGGTTGCATGTAGCTTTTCGAATTAGAGTTTTCTCCAAATGTTTGTCCAAGAGTGAGATTGCTGAAATCCTTCCTCTTTTGACTCATTTAGAGGAAAATTATAACGATGAAAATGATATAACTGACCTGTTAAGAGCCCTCAGCTGCCTGTTAGAAATCCCCAGCGAAACTAGGAGAGGTTGGTATTTGGCCTCTGCGTTCACCATCATCACTGTCATACAGTATTTATGAAACACCATGTGCATATAATTCTGAGTTGAGCCACGCACAGAGATCACGTCCACCTTCCTCAGGGGACTTGTAATTTAAGCTTGGTCTGATGAGCTGCTTAAACCAGGTGTGGTTATATAACAATGAGGCAGCTGCCAGCAACCACACATTAATAGCAGGATCCCTATTTTGGAGTAAGCCCGCTAACATGTTAGGCATGGGCGTAGTAGTAATATAGCCAGGAAAGGGGAAGGCTGCCAAGATGCTTTTTAAGGTCTCAGAGTAGTAAGTTTATAATGTAACCTTTCCATATGATGGTTGGGGAAAAGAAAATGTAGCTGGCTTTGCTCCCTTCACTTCATTTTAAATGTTTTATGAAAGTTAAGACAATTATCTCACACTAGGGGTGGTATTAGTTAAGGGATTACCTGTTTTTAGGATGCTTTTCCTGCATACACAGGGCAAGGCATCCTGAAGTTATGTAAGTTTCTCTTTTGTTCTCTTCTGAATTTGTGTAAAAGTTGTGCAGGTAACCTCAGGCACTAGAGCGCATCCCAGAAAATTTAGTCCAAAGCCTGGATTTTTCCAATAACCAGACCTTTGGCATTATATACCACCAATAGCTTAACAAGTGATTGAATTTCTTAGTTTCCGTCCAATGGGTTTTTTTTTTTAACTTGATGTTTTTAAAGGCACATTTTCAATGTAAGAGGGAGTTTTTACCTGATAATTGCTTTAAAATTTTGTCTTTTCTACATGGAAGACTACTTATAGCCTAAGATGAAGGACTTTGATTCATAGACCTCCACCTCATTATTCTTAAATTTATAAAAGCAATACAATCAGTACAGTATGTTGAAAATAATGATTTTGCTTAAATGTGACATTATATGTCTACATTTTAAAATTTCAAAATATCCCATATAATTTTGAAAAACACCTTAACCTTGACGCAGTCCACTGAATTCTATAACTGATAGCAACGAGAAAAACTGTGTTCTGTACCTAAAAAACAGCAAATGCTGAAAAATATTCAGAATTTGTATATCATCTTAAAGGACACTTTGAAAATATTTTTTGAGTAGTAGGGCATGTGTTTTTAAAAGTTGATTCATAGATTAACCTCAGTCAGAAATTTCATCAGTAATGTTTCACAACTAACCCACAGCAGGGCCTTAAAAAAATATTTAAGGAGGCACCCGCAGGGCACTGATTATCTAATGTACCTATAGGTTTTTTTAATTCTTATTTTTTATTGAAGTGTAGTCAATTTGCAACATTAGTTTCAGGTGTACAGCAAAGCAGCTCAGTTATGCACATACATATGTGTGTGTATATTTTCAGATTCTTTTCCATTACAGCTCATTACAAGAAATTGAATACAGTTCCCTGTGCTATACAGTAGGTCCCCATTGTGTATCTATTTTATATATAGTGTGTACCTATTAATTCCAAACCCCTAATGTACCTATGGATCTTGAAGTGCTTTCAGAATTACTTTTTTTTAATGTCTTATTTTTACTGCTAAGTGGATTAAAACCATTTAATTCCTAGAAAATTGGTCATACAATTACGTAGGTAGGTAGAAATATCCCCTTAATAAGAATTTTGAGGTAAACAGAATACCTCGTCCCTGAATCTCCTGGGTAACTGGAATTTACAGAATTTGAATACTCCTCCTCCTCGTGAGGAGTTCAATTGGTTTTTAAAGGAAAGAACCACAAATTTGAGGAATAACTTTTTAGCATGAAACTGATTTGAAATTGAAAGAGTATCCTTTATTATCCTTTGCTTGTATACTTTATGTTCTGTTTTTGAATATATTTTATCAAGTTACTTGCTTTAATTTGAAAGATTGGGAGTCAGATTACCTAAATTTTAATTGTTGTTATGGCAATAACCAGTGAGTTTTGTGACCTCAAGTAAAATTTATGTTTTGATTTTTTTTCTTTAGGGAAAATATAGAAGTTGAATGGATGATTTCTAAGATTCCTTCCGGTTCTAAATTTTATTATTCTGAATTTGGAACCTTAACAGTGCATCATTTTATTAGTCCAATAATAAAACCTCTCAGAATAATTTCCAAGCTGCCTTTTCTCCTTCACATTATGAGGATGAAAACTTACATAGCATTTCCCATGTGATTGGTTATGAAGAGTCAACTTTAACATTCTTTTGCCAAAGCCTCTCACATGAGACTATTACTGAAAATCAGGGGTCCAGAGTTTTACCTTGTTGTGTGACTAGCAGTAATATTAAAGTTCCTTTATATTTCTGTTTCTCCATCTGAAAAGTAAGTCATGAGGCTTGACCTATGTTATACATAGGGTTCTGTGGTATAGACAAAAGTCGGATGCTTCACAATACAGATACAACAGAAATTCAAAGAAGGATTTCCAATCATACTATCTGTGACTGTGTCTTCAGTGTCCATAGATCATTCTTCTATCCATTCTTCAGAACGTCTGTTCAAGCCGTCTGTGTTGCTTAGTGGAGAAAACTGATTGCAGAAGAACCTTTATTGAGCACATAGCCACAGTTCAATAAGCTGTTCAGTCTCCGAGGCCTAATGAACATAGTGCATGGGAAAAGTAAACGGTAGTGACACAACAGGGAAAATTATGTCCCTTAAAACTCTGCCTTCTCTGAAACTTCTGGGGTGGTGACAATGTTGTAGATACGGACTGCACACAGGGAAGGCAGTCCCCGCCCTGGGGGAACCCTTGATGTTTGAAATGAAGGCACTTAGTCACAGTTTAAGATTACACTCTTTTCCGTGCCAAGCATTATTTGCTCACCTACCAAGTACCGCACTAGCTTTGTTGTTACTCGTTCAGAGTTTATCTAGGAATCCACCACTGGAAGATCTTGCTGCCACTGTGGTTCCACACCTGGATCGTAATCCTCGTGCTCATTGACGCTTCTCTTTCTCCCTCCTCTCTCCTCCAACTTTCTCTTCCACTCTCCATCTCACTTTTCCTTTCTCCTCTTCCCCTTCCCTTCTTGTTCGTTCCCATCCTCCTATTTCCCGCCCCCCCCACCTCCTCCCTTCCTTAGGCTCTCTCTCCTTTCTCCCCATTTCATCCTCGCAGTGTCCTGTCTAGGTGAGTAGTTCATGTGTGGGGAAAACTCTGTACTTAGCATGGATCAGGATGACCAACCTCTTCTTTCTGTTGTCGTCATGAAACACCTCCTGAGGGTATAGACATTAGCATCATACTCATGAGGTTCAGTTTCCAGAGGTTTACAAGTGCAATGTCTTCTAGGGCCTCATGTCACGAAGGGGCCATTGAGGTTGCTCAGGTTTACTCTGTTCTCCTGCTTTATGGCAAATTCAGCCTGGAAAGAAGAAAAGCTGCAGCTGTGATCATTGCCTCAGTTTGGCCTTCTCCTTTTCCTTCTATTTCCTACATGTAGAGGGTCTCTTAATGACCCATTGGTGTTGGCCGTCATGGCAGGGTACCAACCACAGAGGAAGGAAGGCTTCAGTCCCACCTGGGATGAAATGCTCCATCCTGCTTCCCAGAGAGGCTCCCATCAAGGCGGAGCTCCGGGACCCATGCTGAGAACCGTAGAGCTGCTCCCAAAGAGCCTCAGTGATAAAATGTCTATATTTGTGGCTGAACAGAAATATATTTTTCCTCCTTCTGAATTGGGAATGGGCGGGGCCGCTTGCTGGCTGTTCCATCTCAGTGCACAATGATGTTGAGCTGCATGGCATGCCTGAATTTTACCCTGCGGGCTGTGATTAATGGTAATTCGACCAGCGGCCCTGCTAATTGATTTCTCCCATCCTTTCACAGAACCATGATGGCAGTATTGACTTCCGAGAGTATGTAATTGGCCTGGCTGTCCTGTGCAACCCTGCCAACACAGAGGAAATCATCCAGGTGGCATTTAAGGTACTGTCAGCCCCACTGAAAGCATCGTAGTCTGTCTCGTAAACAAGTGTTGACGCTAAGTGTATTATTTGAAAATCAGTGCATCTATTACAAGTGTTTATAGATCCGTGGTGACATGTACAGGAGGGTAATGTGATTAAGACAGTTGCTACTGAGAATGAAGAAAACACAAGCATCATTTAAGCAAGAAAAAAAAAAGTCTTTGGAAGCAGCCTAGTTAACAGCATCAAGATCGAAGAGCAGATGATTTAATTAATTAGCTTAAAAATGGTTTCTTTTCAGCCTCCCTCCTTTGAAGCCCCAAGGTAAGGTTGTAAATAGACACCACCTGTCTGTCACTGGTCATCCAAATTCAGCATGCAGAAAGTTCTCATCCATCCTGATTTTCTCATTCTGTATGTTGAAGATATTGGAGGTGGTCTTTTCCTGATGGAGTTTATTTTGTGCTGGTGGTGTCAGCGGAACACCATCAGAAACGTCTCACGTTTCCACCCCGTGTGTTTTCCTGTAGTGTCACATATATGGTCGCAGCAGTGTGGGGGGTGGGAAGGCAGACGACTAAAATCCCTGGCCTCAGACCCCAATAGAACTTCATGGAGGTTCAAATGATGAAAAACTCAGATTCCATGTATTACTTATCTGTGCAAAGAGAAGAGTACATCCCCAGAGTGCATTTTTGGTTCTTCTGAGATGAAAGGTGCTTTGTCTAACTGGTGTTTAAAAAGGGATGTTCCCTTCAGAATTCTAATCTCACGTGGTCTGCTCTCAAGTGAAACAAAAACTCAATCTCCCTGCTTGTCTCCCCAAGCTGGGTGTGTTGCCTCTTATCACTCAGCCACTTGCATCTCTGCTTCATCCACTGTGACAGCTGAGGACCCTCTCCAGGCCTGTTTCTACTCTTGTTTCTTCTAATTTTCTCTGAGAAGATCCCCCTGTGTCCTCCACAAGTTTTTACCCCTCTGTCACCTAGAAAGACTCTCTTTTCTCTCAGAGCCCTTTCTCACATCTTAGAGGCCTAAGGAATGGCCTCAGAATTTCCGCGTGTTCTCTCACTGACAGAGTGTTGGGGGAGACTAGGTTCTTGCCTCGCGCAGGGAAGAATTCAAGAGCAAGGCGTGGTAAAGTGAAAGGAAGCGTATTTAGAGAGATATACACTCTGAGGACAGAGTGCAGTCTGTCTCACTCCGAAGGGAAAACAGTTTAGGAGATACACACTCCATGGGCAGAATGTGGGCCATCTCAGAAAGGGGAGAGGGAGAGAGACCGAGAGGTGGGTCCGTTTAGAGTAAAAGTAGATACACGCTTCAAAGACAGAGTGCGGGCCGTCTCAGAAGGTGAGAGGGACAGAGCGAGAGCGACCACGAGGTGTGGCGTTGTTAGGTTTTATGGGCTCGGTAATTTCATATGCTAATAAGTGGGAGGATTATTCCAACTACTTTGTGAAAGGGGCAAGGATTTCCAGGAAGCATCCCCCTGCCCACTTTTTGACCTTTTATGGTCAGCCGGGGAACTGTCATGGTGCCTGTGGGTGTGCCGTGAGGCTCAAGGTCTACCGGAAGTCGAGTCTTCCGCCATCTTGGTTCTGCCCAGTTTGTCCTGTCCTCGGTGGCTATGTCACCCCTTCAGTGGTTGTGCCCTGCCGCCTTTCCTCCCACTTCAAGAGGAGTCCCCCAGCTGACTGGTTATTTCAGATTGGTCTAAACTGAGTTAACTGCCAGACCTATAAAGAACCTAAGAGGTTGATGTTTAGCAGATGGTCACAAGACAAGGGCCAGAACTTTTTCCAAGCTGAAAACTTTTGGCTTTTGCAGACTTATTCATCATAAAACCTAAAATTATACACAGAGCTAACTTATTCCGATCCAGATATTCCTGTTTCTGTTTTGGGATTGTCTGTGTAATTAGACGTTCAGCTGGACAAGTGGTCAGTTTGAATTTACCAATGAAAGGCCTGATGGAAAATTTGGCCCTTAATCATAGTAATTATTGTTTTTAGAGAAGTCCTGAGATTTTTCTCCAGTCTAGACCTTGGGGTTTTTTTAGGAGGGGAGAAAGGAAGAAAGGAGGGCCTAAAACTATAATTAGCTCTTTTTTCAGTAAGGCAACAGTCATGCTTTACATTTTTTTTTAACCTTCTCACGTGTGTTTGATGTTTTTGAAAATATTTTGGCATGCTTCTGTTTTTTATTTAGTAGTATCCATGTGTATGTGTATATATATGCATACACACACATACATATATATGTACATATATACATACATATACAATCCATTCACATCCTTTTATTGGGTAGCACGTCACATCATCACTTCACATGGGAAGTTAACTTCCCACCTTTGATCTTATTTCATCATCTCAGTGACCTTTAGAGGCAGAATATTAGCGTTCTTCAGTTGTAAGCGGTAGGCGTAGACTCTGGCTGGGGAATCAGCTGTGAGGACAGCGAGTAGGCTCCAGGGGAGACTCAAAAGCAGGCAGCTCCAGAGGCCCCAGCCACAGGAACTGCTCTCCACTTTCCTTGGGCACTGCGGTTAGAGAGAGCAAACTCCAGCCCTGTTCATCGTTCATATTCCAGGGAAGGTCCATATGATCGTGGACCATGTGCTTGCTGGGAAAGACGGGATCTTTTGATTCAGAGTCCCCCAGCACTCTGCATTGGGGAGCTACCACTCCCCCATTCTCAAAGGAAACCGGGATGTTAAACCTTCAACCAGAGCCCGGAGCATGGGATTTACCTTAGATTTGGGAACTTTGCGGCAGGGAGGCTCCTGAGAGTGATGAATAATTGAGAGCAATTGAGGGCTTTTTGTGAGGGGAACAACCTGGGGTAGTTGTGACGAAGGACAGGTGGAGAGGAAGTAAAAGTCACCAGGATGCATGTGTGAAGGGAACTTACACAGAAGTGAGAGCCACCAAGGCACCAAGTGTGACAGGAATGTAGACCATTAGATGAGTTGATGAGAATTGTTTAGGAATGGAGGAGTTTTAAAGAAAACCTAGAGTTTGTGAGAAGAGGGGCTGGGATTGAACCCTGGCAGTTACTCTAAAGTCCAGGGCCCATAAAGAGCCCTGGGGCTACCGTTTGTGGAAACAAATGCTAATTCACTTTTCACTTTCCAACTGTCTTGTCCCCTCTCCAGGGGCTGGGTGGCAGCCAGCGGACTGGAAGTCTGTGCTTTCTCATCTGGAGGCAGCAGGTCACAACTTCAAATTAGAGTCTCCTCCTCCCACCCTAATGGACAGTCACAACGCTCTTCAATATTTGCTTGTTCTTTTCATGGTTATCACACCTTATCCAATGCCTTTTTTGATCACGTATTTGGTCGGAAGTGAATACCTAACAGCAGGAACTCTAGATGTCACCTGCCTGCCTTTGGGTGCCAGCTTGACCACTTCCAAGTTGGGTGACCTTGGGGAAGTTACCCGACTTCCTTGTCCCTCAGCTTTCTCCTCTGTGAGATAGGGTTAATAACGACACTCCCTTACATAAGACTTTTTGGGATTAAATGAGTTAATACTTACAAAGTGATTCGAATACGTTTGATCAGTGCCTACAAAGAGTCAGTGCTAATATCATTAAAAAATGTTAATACCCTGGAGAGGATTTTAATTATGGATGTTAATTATCTGTCAGTTACCTTGGTTTTCTGCTCAACTTTCAGTTGATCCCACCCTTCTGCCTTTTCCCCTCTACCCATCAACATATTCAGTCTCTCCCTTCCTGGAAGCAGTTTACATTTATGCATGGCTACTACCCCATTTATTTCCTGCCCTTTATTCCATAATTTCTTACTTTTTTTATAATTGAAATATAGTCAATTTTCAATGTTGTGTCAGTTTCTGGTATACAGCATAGTGGTATTCTCATAATTTCTTGAGAAGAGTCCGTGCCTGTGGCCTCCAATCCTCTCCTCCATTCATTCCTGGAGTCTCACCTCCATCCGTCATCAGGATCTCCTAATCGCCAAATCCAGCAAAACTTCTTGCTTTTTGCTTGGGCTTCCTATGGTATTTTACTGTGCTGGCCATTACTATGGTTGGAGTTTCTTCCTCTTTCCTAAAAGCCTTCTCTAGCTTCCAAGATGCATGTGCCTCCGGTTCTCCATCTCCTTGACTGCTTCCAAGTTTTATTTGTTTGTTTGCAAGAAAGAAGTTCCTCTTCCCTGCACACACCTCAGCTCTTGCTGTTCCCAGGGCTCTGCCTGACTCTGCATTTTCCACAGATAAGCTCAAACATGCTTGGAGTTTCAGTTCTTACCTGATTTCCTATCTAGAGCCTTATCACTCTCCTGAGCTGATGTGTTGAATCTTACTTCCTTCTGGTGCCTCTTACTCAAATTTAACCTCTTCTGGTCTATCCCTTGACCTCACTGGGTACCTGTTCTCCCACTCTTGGTAACATAACCCACGTTCACCCACTTGCCAAAGCTGGAACACCTCGGCCATCATTGGCGCCGTCTTTTCCATCACTGCAGACCTCTAATTGGTAGGCAAGGCCTGGCTTTGCTTCCTGATAAATTCTGTCCCTCCCCACCCTTCCTGCTTCTCCACCCCAGACTCTTAATTGTTTTTCCTGCCTTTAGTCTTCTCAACCTTCTGCCCTCATCCCTGTCCTCCACAGTCTGCCTCAGAGAGTTCCCTCAGTTCACATAGGATCACACCACAGGCCTCCCCATTGTAATCCTGCAAGGTTAGGTGAGGCCTCAAATATCCCTCACGATCTGACTCCTGTTTGTCTGTCTCCTGACTTGAGCCCCAGGCAATCATCTCCCACGCCTTGTATATTCTGGGACTCTCTCTTCCTGTTCTAAGACCCAACTCAAATGTCATAAAGCCTTCCCTGACCTCTTTGGGTGGGACTCATCTTGTCCTCCATGGAACTCCCCTGTGCTTTTGTACTTAATATTGTCATCGCCCCTATTTTAGTTCTGTCTCTTTCTACCACTAAACCACAAGTATAGTGAAGAAAGCAGAGACCATCCTTTCTTTTGGGCCTCTATCCCTAGCCTCTGGCGCAATGAATGCTTAAATTACTAAAGAGTTTACTTTCCAGGGTTACTGCAGACCACCACTGCTCTGGGAGAGCTAATTCTTCTTTTCTTTTCCCTTCAGCTCTTTGACGTTGATGAGGATGGCTTCATAACGGAGGAAGAGTTCTCCACCATTCTGCAGGCTTCCCTTGGGGTGCCTGACCTCGATGTTTCTGGTCTCTTCAAGGAAATAGCCCACGGGGATTCTGTCTCCTATGGTGAGTAGGCAGTTTGGCTCCTGATTCAGCATACGAGGAGGGCATCCAGACGGTGACCGACCCTCTACAAGAGTGTTGTTTCCTTCCCCTAATATATCAACACTAGAAATAATAGTCAGAATGATGGTGATGGTAATAATAGTAGTAGTGGTGTAATGGTAGAGGCTAATTATTGAGGACTTGTTGCTGAAAGATCGGCTGCTCGTCCCTGACTAGCCAAAAAATTCAGAGACCCGGTCTTGGAGCTTAGAAGAAGAGGGGCAGCTTTATTACTTTGCCAGGCAAAGGGGACTCACAGAGGCTAGTGCCTTCAAAACTGGGAACCTGTCTTAGGGTTGGGGCTTAGTGATTATATAGTGAACAAATTGGAGAGTAAAAGGGGCTGTCAATCAGCAAGAGTCAATGGTGAAGTTTCCTCCTAAATCCCGGCGAGTCTGTCCAGCAGCAGGGGACCGTCCGGGGATCTGGAGGGTTATCAGCCTGTGACCTTCTTTATCTGATCAGACTCATTAGGCGCCAGGAGGAACTTCAGAGGGTCTGGTTACTCTCCGGTAACTCCCTTTCTAGGTGAATGACTCAGAAACCAAACATGATTGTAAATTTCAATTGCCAGAGTGAGGTAAAACAAACAGGAAAATGAAGAACCCTAACTCTAATTGTAACAATGGGCCTGGGGCTGGGGGCAGTGTCCGGTCAGTCAGATTTGCTGACTGTTTTAAAAGCAAACAACAGGTATAAGGCCAGGAATTAGTTAGCCTAAGCGCAGCCATCTTGTTACTTCTCCTTCAGACTTACCAAATGCCAAGCACTCTTTAAACTTTTTATATATATTAGTTTATTGATTCTTTACAGCAAGCCTATTAAATCAGTACTCTTCATTATTCTTATGTTACTGGGGGAAAAAAAAAAGAGATGCAGAGAATTTAACTGACTTACCTGAGATCACCACTAGAGAATGTCAGAGCCAAGTTTCCAAAAGCAAGGCAGTGTGGCTTTCGAGCCTGCACCACTGACCTCCACACCGTAGTGCCTCTTGTATTGGCTGCCCCACCTTACGGAGCTTTTCTTTTCTGCTGTCAGTGTGTCCAGGCAAAACTGAGCAAGATAGCCCAGCCCGGTTAGAATCACAGCAGAGGGACACGGGCTGAGGGACCAACAGCCCTAACAATAGCTAAACCATCTATTGGTGTTTCCTGTTCGTGGCTCAGGAGAGCTTTCATGTTCGTTATCTCGCATCATGTTGATGGCACCCCTGTGAGGTAGGGCCTGTCACAGAGGAAGACCTGGTGGCCAAGTGGTAGGTCCATCCAGCAGTGACCACCCTTCTCCTGATGACACATCAAAACAAGTCCCCTGAGGGCTGAAGGCATGGTTCGTCAGTTTCCACTGATTGCACAGTGCAGTGGTTGGGAAACGCACCCCAGTGGCGAGGCCTGGGTGAGGGTGTCCCTGCCTTGGCTTTGATGTGGTCGTAAATGTCAGCGTGGCTTGTCTTCCCTAGTCTTCTCCTGCGGGCTGGTGGGTGATTCCTCTTGAATGCCTTTTTCTTTCTGGGGCTCAAAGAATTTTCAGCCTGATAGCTTTCATAGGATGGGGGAGTTAGAGCATGTACTTCTCTTACTCTCTGTTTTTGATTACTCTCATTTTGGCTGCCCTTTATTCTATTTTAGGTAATCAAGTGCCTAGGGCACTTACTCTATTTTGTTCGTTAAAAAAAAGATAGAAAGGATAAAATGAGAAGTATATACTGATATAAAACTTAAGAGTCATAAACCCCATGTGTACTAACTCTCTGAACATTTCCTTGCGTAATTAAGATTCTCTCTTACAGCAAACTACCAAATTTTGAAAAACTGGAGTAACTATTTCAATGGCATTATTTGTAGATAGTCCTGTCATATTTTTGCCTGTGAATTTTAATATATTTTTAGGGAAATCTGCTTTGTTTTTTGGAGTTCACCCTTTTTCTTTTTAGAATACACGACTATCTCTCTTTTTCCAATATTACGCAAGCCCTTTTTTTTTACAAGAATGTGGTATTTAAGTATGATTTTATAAAATAATAGGTAAAGAAATGTATCATGAATGTGACCATTAACGTTATTTAAATATGATTATTTAAATTGTTTTCCTTCTTGTTTTTCCATTAGCCAAACTGATGCCCAGATTCTGCTTTTTGCCAGCTCACAGCACTTTTAGAAATGAGTTACTCTTTAATGTCACTGGCATCCCCAAAGAGAACAGAAACCTTGATCTTTTGAGCAGAGCACAAATCCTAAACCTGAAACTCATGGTTCCAGTAAATCAGTTCTCAGGCCCACTTAAAAGGACTTACTTAAATTCTCTGTGTCTCCATCATTGAAATAGACTCGTGCAGATAAACCTTTATTTTGGATGTTAAGAAAGAACAATTACTAGATTACCTGATTTGGGAATATAAAGTGCTCTATTAATGCAAAATAATGTAATTGCAAAGAATGATCTGTGTACAATCCAGTGACTTCCTCATCACTGAGACCTGTTTTTATCTTCAGGAGTTGTTAGGTAGTTTAATGTGCCTTGAAGTAGACACTTGGTTATCAGAGATTAATGAATAGATAGAAATAGGATATTTGGTGAAAAGCCTTTTATTATAGAGTCAAATGGTGAGCTAATTCAAAGACCAGCCTGCCTTTGCTATATAAGCTCAATAAAGGCTTCTCCATCCAAACAGGAGAGAGAAATGTCAAAGTTGAGGGTAGCGTCATATTTTAGGAACTCCAGGTTATTGGAGGCTTGAGGGTCAGATTCTGATGGTTAATATAATAAGCCTTCTAAACTCTGCCTCAGTTCCCAAATCTAAATCATCTAAGGTAAAAAGAGACCACTACTCAGGGGTCTTGTGACGTGACTGTTGCATATTGTACACTCTCCTTGTCCTTATTGATCATAAGTCCGAGCTCAGCTTTCAAGACGGTATATTTCTATACCAGAGTTAAAGGTTAAAATAGTTTTAAAAGCCGGTAATAGAATGTCCTGGGTCATAAAATTTTTTAAACATTTTTTTCTTATAAAAAATAACAAAAATACATTAAAAATGAACAAAACATAAACATAGAGCATAATAAAGTTTTACAAAGTGAACACTTGTGCACCTACCACCCAGGTCAAGAAATAGAGCTTTTCAAGAACTTGAGAAACTTCCATGTGCCCCTTCCCATCTACAACCCCTTCCTCTGTCTTAAAGGAGGGAAATGCTGACTTAAAAAGGAATCTCTACCTTGCTTTAAAGATGTCACGTCAGAAGCACACATCTTTAAATGTATTTTAGTTTTGCCTAAGTTTTCGAACTTTACATACTGGACTCATACAACATGTTCTTTTGTGTCTGGCTTTTTTCATTCAACATTATGGTTTTAAGATTCATCCACATGCTTACAACACAGCTGTTCATTCATTTTCATTGCCCTATAGCGTTATGTTCCGTGAATATGCCATGATTTATTTATCCATTTCAACTGTTGACTGTCATTTGAATTGCTCTCATTTCTTACCTATTATGAATGATGTTGCTCTGAACATGCTCATACACATATGCACAAATTTCCCTACCTTGGAATAGAGTATGCATGCCTTCAGCTTGATGAAGTAATGGAAAAAACTATCTTCCAAAGCAGCTGTACAATTTATGAGGGTTGAGTAAAAGAATTTTGCAATAATAGTATTATTAAGATCATATGTTAATCTGCATCACACCAAAGGAAGATTCACCTCAATTTATTGGATTTTTTGTTCTCCTCTTTTAGAGGACTTTAAAAGTTTTGCCCTAAAGCATCCAGAATATGCTAAGATATTTACAACCTACTTAGACCTCCAGACGAGCCATGTGTTTTCACCAAAAGACATCCAAGCATCTCCCTCGGTTGCAAGTAATAAAGTCAGTCCTGAAAGTCACGAAGAGAGTACCTCAGACAAAAAAGACGACTGAAAGCAAATATTCCTAACAAGCAAAATGCAGTGGTTTTTACTTGAAATTGTAAAGGCACTTATAGATGGTGTTTTATTTGTGATTGTTGCGTAACGATGTTTAAAATGGAAAGTTTTTTTATTAAAAATGATAGGTTTTTCTTACTGAAATGCTTTTATTCACATGTATAGATCAAGTAATATTCCTTCTCTTTTACATTCTATTTTGCTTTACTGGTGATAAATACGTTTTTATGGATTTTCTAGTTTAATTTTCATATCCAAATGAATGAAATGGTCTCCTTTACTTGCTGATAGGCTTTAATCAGCACTGTAAAAAATTTTTAAAGTTTAAACCCTTTTTAATCTACCTTCCTCTAAAGAAAATTATATTCTGTTATCACTAATCCCTTCCCGTTCTGGAAATAAGAATAAAGAGTCTGAGGAACATTGCAGAATTTTATACCTTGAACTTCACAGATTCATTTTATTTTTCATTTGCATTTCAGTTTCTTGGATCACTGACTCTGGGGGGGATTGGAAGGGAGATAAGACTTCTTAAAAACTCATATTCTCTCGAGCATGCATCCCTATTGTACATTTCCTTAACCACCTGCTAAGGAAATCATACCCTTTTGCATGATCTGCAGATTTAGAATTTTGTTTTAAAGACGACACTATGGCCAAAGGCTATGCGGGAATTGCCTTATTGAAGGTAACGTTAATTGCCTAATGAGAAAATGAATTGTTCGCCACAGTTTAGTTTAATTTGAGTTGGGTGGTTTAGAATGTAGTGCTTACCCAGTCAATGAATCAGATTTACTTTATTTATATAATATTATAATTAATATATTTTACAATCTCAGTGGGAGTTTTAATTTTATTAAGTGTTCTCTCAAATTTTAGAGCTTGCCTGAAATACCTAGAGGGAAAATATAAAAGGGTCCAAATTATCAACAAAAGCTAAGGAATCCAAAAAGCTACATTATTAATGCAGGACCACAATTTAACCCCCAGGCAGGAATTTAACGCTGATATTTTTGCCTTTAGGTTAAGCAAGAATTGCCTCAAGTGCCATTTTATTGATGTCTTGGATGCTTGCTTAAAAAGTTTCATCCTTAAGTGCAGGCGTATACTTGTTTGCTTTTTACATGTCTTAAAGCTGTTTAGACAAAGCATTGAATGAGCTGAGAACAATTGCTTAAGTAATTACGAAAGTACATCTTTATAATACTGTCTGTCACATGCAACTGAATGTATGTAATACTCAGGTACCATGATTTTTTATCATAGGAAAGCCACATATTAATCCCATGAATCATGAAAAAGTAGCATTTTAAATGAAAATCTTTCTGTGAGGCTCTGGAAAGTGATTCTGTTGTTTTCCTGTTTTAAAATAGTATTTTATGTTCTTTAATTTCACCTCTGCCAATGTAATATTCCTATTTTATCATGTAACTGAATAAACAAACTTGCTACATAAAATTCTTGGCAATTAAAAATTCTGGTTTTGCCATCGTGTCTCAAATGTAATATACCTTTTTAATATTGTGGTTTGGATATAAGTTTGCATATTTATGAATGTGATTAATCATTTTTGTTTACATTTAAGCCTTATGAAATGTCAGACATAATTTTACTCTAATGAAAGACCCAATTTTAGCCAAAACAGCAATAGTTAGTATTCCTAAAGTTGACTTTTGGCTAGTGGGGTGTATGTAGTAAGTCATGACCATCACTGTTACTACCAGTTAGGCCTCTACCTTTATGCCATCTAAACAGGGATTTCCTTCAAAGGGGCTTTTCTCCTCTTAGAATTTAAAGTAAGGAATTAAATTTCATTAAGTCAGTTAACTGCATTGTGGTTTTACCTAACAGTTTGAAAAAAATGAGGTTCCTCTTTAAAATGAGAAATATTAGATCCTAAGACCAGTAAACCATAAAAATCTTCAATCAGAACAGTTCTGTTGAAGGATAATGATGTGCTGAATACTTACAGAACAAAGTGCTTGTATTGTGCATATTTATTTCTCCTCTGCTGCTTTTAGAGTTTTGGAAGGCTGAGTGTGACCGCTGGTAGTGCTACCTCTAATGCGTATTTAAAAGAGCCCCTTTTAGAAGATGCAGGGTCTGCTGTCTGCATGAGGCACAGCAGTGCAGATATCCAGTTCCCAGGCTCAGGAACTCTCCTCTCTGGGCTGTTACAAATGCACGGTGGCGAATTGATGGTAATTAATTTATACTCTGAGAGGGCCACTGACCATAAAGGAGTCACTCAAGAGAATAAAAAGATACTAGGAAGAAGCCATTCCCTAGAAAAGCAGACATATTTATAATTCTTTTTTTTTTTTCTTTTCTGTTCATTTGGATGAACTTTTCCGTTTTTTGGTTAAATTATTATACCAGATTATTCTGTCAATGCTGTGAGTTGATGGAGGGGAAGTTCCTCACAAAGTTCTTGACATACATCCTATATACGTATCACAAACTGCTTTCTACTTAGAACAATAACCTGAAGAGCTTTTGCCCTTTTATTAATGCCGTTTAATGTAACTCTTGTTTCTAGATAATCATTCTCTTGCAACAAATTTCTCAAGTGTCTTTGTAAGGCCCAGCATGTTCTACCAAATTGTCTCCATTATGTGTTGACCCAGCTTGCTGTTTTCTCCAACATGTTAACTGTATCCTTTCCTTATCATTCTTATAAAAGAATCTATGCACATTGGAAAAGAATAAACAAAAAAGTCATGTTTACTTTCACCACCCAAGTCAACTATTAATTTTTAACATATTTTATTTTACCCTTTTTCCTAGATATTCTTAGGTTCTCAGGATAACAGTGTATATGGTATTTAAATCCTACTTGCAATATCACATTTTCCAGTATCATTACAATTATGTGGAAATACAGTTTTTTTCAAAGTATACCTGCTATTCCTTCATGTAGCTGTAATATAATGTGTGATCATTCTTCAAATATTGAAACTGTGAGTTTGAGTTTCATTTTGGAACTATTAAAAATAATCAACTTCCATGCTCCATAATAGTTCATAATTATGAATAGATTGCTAAGGGGCTTATTAATACTTTCTGAATTCCAAAATGAAAAACTTTACTGAAGATTTTATAATTATTAAACTTTATTTTAAGCTAATTTTATTACAGGACCAAAAAATTGAAATTATTTGATTCCATAGAGTAAAGTAATTTTAATTTCATGTAGTAGGTGACAGGTTAATACTTTTAAAGGTAAGTAGACTTAATCTTTTTAATAGTATTGTTCCCTTTGTAAAAGTAACAGACTTACTAATTATTACAATAAGTAATAATAATAACTACCAATTTCCTTATTATTCATCAGTCACTGTGCTAAGTGCTTTATAGGTGTGAACATGTTTCAACACTCAATGAAGCACAGGTATTGTTGCCCCTAGTTTTACTAAACAAAATTTAGAACAATTCCCGAAGTCACTCATTGAGTGGCAGAGCTTGGAATTAAACCTAATTTTGTCTGATTCCAAAGGCCAGGCTTGTAATCATTTATAAAAAGCAGCACAGTTGCCTGATGTATAAAATTTATAGATTTTGCATCTGCCATGTATTTTCCTGCTTGTGGGGTCTCGTATCAAATTTTGACTTAGTTCTTAAATGGAAGAAAGAGATGGTTCAAAATGGTTCCAAGCAGTGGATGACATGGGGGAGAAGATTGGTGAGCCCTCCTGACTCTCTCCCTTGTGGCCCAGGATAGGTCAGCTGGAAGCCCTGAAACCTTCCTGCAGGACTAGCCCAAGATACTGCAAACCAAAGGCGAGGTGAATGTCGACGCCGCAGTAACCCTTCTCCTTTGTGGGGAGTGGTGGAGCGTGAAGTCTCTACTTTTTATGGGCCCCTCTGCTGCGGTGGTCTTTTCAGTCACACCTCTGCTCTCAGACTAAAGTATCTGATCAGTAAAGCAGGGTTTGAGGGACTGAGGACAAAGCCAGAATTGGAATATCTGGGACCTTCATTCTAACTGTCGTGAAGCATCCCTTTGCTGGTCTCCTTGCTTAGATTCTTGCCCTCCTATAAATCCTCTTGCCATACAGAAAGCACAGGGACTGTTTCAAAGCATAAACCAGATGTCACTTCTCCAGTGAAATGTTTTCAAAGGCTACCACCCATTGTAATTTGGAGAAAATCCAAAATATTCAACATGGCCTGCAAGGCCCTGCATGGTCTGGCCCCTACCACAATGTAGTTCACCGTCTCCAATCTCCTCCTTCACTAAACTCCCACCACCCAATCCTTCGTTTCCTCCAATGGATAAAAGCCCCTTCCAGCCTCAGGGTCACCGTACTGCTGTTCCCTCTGGCTGGAATGCTCTTTCCCAAAGACTTTCGCCTTGCTTTCTCTTCTTCCTTCAGTCTTAAAAACAAACAGTTTCATCAAGGTATGACTGACACACCATACAGTTCCCCCATGTAAGGTGTACACTTCAGCATTTTTTTAAGCATATTCACAGAATTGTTCAACCATCACATCCATCTAAATTTTTTATTCTTCATTCAGATTTTAAATCAAATGTCACATCATCAAATAGGAAACCCACATCAACCTAAAAAAAACTCACTGTCTCTACAGACATTCTCAACCCCATTACCCCTTTTATTATTGCACTTAAACTTCTGGGATTTCTGTTGTTATATACATAAGAAATATATATTTATTTTATAATTATATATAAAAATTTATATATATAATGTTCATCTGTTTATTGTCTGTTATTCCTCCTACTTAGGAAGGGATACGTGACACGTAGTAAACACTCAACATTTGAAAAATGAATAATGATAACATTATTTTTGACTTGTACCTTGCCATGGTATTAGAAGAGAGGTCATTTTTACAGCAAACTTGAAAACCTAGGATCATGACCCCTGAAACTCATAAAGAAAATAAGGCTTAGAGTTACATAACTGGTGGGTACAAGGCCTGGAATTCAAACCCAAGGCTGCCTGGCTCGAAATGAGGGGATTTTTGATTAGGCCAAGAAACTTGAACCCATTAAATAAGTGAAAAAATGATGTGACAGGCCTCAGGTTCCAGAAATATGGAAACTAGATCATCTGAGAACCCTCTGGCCACAAAACCCCTGGAATGTTGAACAAAATGTCACAAACATATTTGAAATGCGTAGCTGAGCTTGCATGCTACTGAGGGAAATCCTCCAAGGCCAAGAATGAAAAGGGAGCTGGCACCCAGCACTGCATAAAGGCATAAATGTTCTAGTTGACCTGCGAACATTTGTCAGTCTCAGTAACAGAGAGACTGGAATTTTGTGGCTGTGGGAGACAGAAGACAAGGTTTTTATATGATGTGGGGGATTGGAACTGAGATCTCAGGAAATAAAGAAAACATTTTGAAGGGCTACACTCTCAGTAAAAGAAAGAACTGGGCAAATTCATCTGGTAGAGGAAGACTAGGAGGAAATTTTTCTGCCCTGGCCTGGGTTCTAGGTTGGGGGAAAAAAATCCTCCTCTGATAACTTTTTGAAAATTTCTATTCTAAGTGTTTTGAGACTCAAGGCTCAGCCTGTGGTATGTCCTGGTGAATGTCCAATGTATACTTGAAAAGAATGTGTATTCTGCAGCTGTTGAGTGTAATGTTCTATAAATGTAAGTTAGATCCAGTGAGCTGGCAGTGCTGTGTAAGTCCTCTATATTCTTACTAATTTTTTTTGTCTACTTGTTCTATTAATTATTGAAAGAGGGATGTTGAAATCACCAACTATAATTGTGGTTTTATCAACTGTCAGTTTGCTTGAAGTTCTGCCGTTAGGCTCATAGTCATTTTTGATCACTACGTCATCTTGATGATCTGACCCTTTTAACATAATAAATACTCTGCTTTAATTTCAGTAAAATATGCTTTGTTGGTTTATTAAAGTAGCCACTCCAACCACACCAAGCTTCTTACGATCAGTGTTTTCCATCCTTTTTTTCATCCTTTTACTTTTAACCTATCTGTGTCTTTACATTTACTGTGCATCTCTTAAATGAGTGTTTTGTGGTCCATTTGGGTCTTTTTTATCCTGCCTGACCTTTGATCTTTGAGCTTTTCTCCTCTTTTCCTGACTTTTTTTTTTTTTGGATTAATCAATTTTTTTTTCATATTTTATCATTGTATAGTTTCTTTCGGCTTGTTAGCTATACATATTTATTTTTAATGGATGCTCCAGAGCATACAATATTTATCTTTAACTTAATATAGTTTACTTTCAAAAAGTAGTATACTTTTTTCACTTATAGGAACCTTATAATGATATACTATTTTTTGTATGTTTTGGGTTTTTCTTTTTTTAATTCTTATTTTTTATGGAAGTGTAGTTGACTTACAATGTTAGTTTCAGGTGTACAGCAAGGCAATTCAGTTATACATATACTTACATACATATTTTGTTTCCAGTTTCTTTTCCATTGCAGCTCATTACAAGAAATTGAATGTAGTTCCCTGTGCTCTATAGTACGTCCTTGTTGTTTATCTATATTATATAT